CGAGAAGATCTGGGAGGGAGTCAGTCAGAGAGCCTTGGGCCAGAGTTCCAGGGGCTCTGGGAGTGGCTGCCAGGTGAGTTGAACAGTCCAATTTTCAGTGGGGTCCCACACAGATGGGACATGGCTTAGGAGGAATCCGGGGCTGCAGGCATTCCTTGGCCCAGTGGCCAGATTTCCAGCACTTGTACCAAGCTCCTGGGGGAGGAGGTTCGGGAGGAACCCCTGGCAGCTGCGGTTCAGGTGTCTGGAGTTCTTGTGTGCTAGAGATGTGGCTGGAGGCAAGGAAATGCAACTCAGAAATAAGTTGCTATTTGGCTGCCTCTACTGTATTATTGTACACCTTGAAGGCAAGGTTAATTAAGTCCTGTTGTGGTGTTTGAGAGCTGGAATTTAATTTTTGGAGCTTATGGAATGTCAGGAGCAGATTGGGTAATAAAATAAAATGCATATTGAGAATAAGATGGCCTTCTGACTTTTTAGGGTCTAGGGCTGTAAAGCGTCTCAGGGTTGCTGCCGAACAGGCCATGAATTGGACTGGGTTTTTGTATTTTATGAAAAAGAGCCTAAACACTAACTGATTTGTGAGAGGTTGGATAAAGAAAATGGAGCATTAACCTTGACTATGCCTTTAGCTCCAGCCACCTTTTTAAGAGGAAATTGCTGGGCAGCAGGTTGGGGAGGGCTAGTCGCGGAACAAAACTGTAAGCCGGACCGGGTGTGAGGAGGGGAGATGACAAAAGGATTATAAGGTGGGGGAGCGGAGGCTGAGGAAAAATTGGGACCTAGCTCAGCCTGGGGAGGAGCAGCCTTGGGAGGAGAGGAGAGGTCAGATGGGTACATAGAAAAGGAAGATTCAAAAGACTCAGAGATGCTTGGGGTTGGGACTGAAGGGACAGGCGGGAGGGAAAGAAGCAAGATTTGGGACAAGTTGCATTGGGAACGGAGACTAGGGAGGGACCAATGTGTAAAACAATGTCTGGACGTCAGGCACCTCAGACCATTTGCCCATTTTACGAGAAGAATTATTTAGATCTTGTAGGATGGAAAAATCGAAAGTGCCATTTTCTGACTCTGTGGAACCACTGTCGAGTTTGTATTGGGGTCAAGCAGCATTGCAGAAGAAAATAAGAAGCTTAGATTTTAGGTCAGGCAAGAGTTGAAGAGGTTTTAAGTTCTTGAGAACACAGGCTAAGGGAGAAGAAGGAGGAATGGAGGGTGCAAGGTTGCCCTTAGTGAAGGAGGCAAGTTTAAAGAGAAGGGTAGAGACATAGAGAGAAGGGGTGGGGGGTGCTTGCCCCCCAGGAAAGTGGAAACAGGGTGAGAGAGGCTTGCCCCGCAAGAAAGTGGAGAAAGGGTGGGGGGTGCTTGCCCCCAGGAAAGTGGAGAAGGGGTGGGAGGTGCCTGCCCCCCAGGAAACTGGAAAAGGGGTAGAGAGACACAGAGAGAAGGGGTGGGGAGTGCTTGCCCCCCAGGAAAGTGGAGAATGTGTGGAGACATGAAGAGAAGGGGTCAGGGGTTGTTTTCTCCCCAGAAAAGCGGTGCTTGCTGCTAATAGTGAAAGACCAAGGCAGGCGTCCCCATGTGGTCAGACACTTCTGAAACGTAGGTGAATAATCAAGCAGGCATCCCCATGTGATTAAACACCAAGGGAAGACTGTCTTCCCAAGTCCGTGACTGGCGCCAGAGTTTTGAATCCACGGATAAAACACATCTCCTTTGTCTCTACCAGAAAAGGAAAGGTACTAAAATTAAGAGGAGGGAGAGATTGAAGGGTAGCACCAAGACTGAAAGGAGAAAGAGGTTGAGGGATAGTGAGAGGGGTTGGAGAAATCTCTTCTCCAACCTCTTACCTGATTTAAAATCCGTGAGATGTTCCTTGGGCTGGTTGGTCTGAAGACCTGAAGTTGTAGGTGGATCTCTTCATGGAGTGAGGGTGAGGACAGGGGACTGGTCTCCCAAAGGAGTCCTGCTGATCTGGGTCTTTGGCACCAAATGTCTCACGTGTGTCCATGTGAAGAGACCACCAAACAGGCTTTGTGTGAGCAGCAAGGCTGTTTATTTCACCTGGGTGCAGGGGGGCTGAGTCGAAAAAGGAGGCAGCCAGCATGGTGGGATTATCATTAGTTCTTACAGGTTTTGGGATAAGTGGTGGAGTTAGGAACAAATGTTTTGTGGGCAGGGGGTGGATCCCACAAAGTACATTCTCAAGGGTGCGGAGAATTACAAAGAACCTATTTAAGGGTAGGGGAGATTACAAAGTACATTGATCAGTTAGGGTGGGGCAGAAACAAATCATAATGGTGGAATGTCATCAAGGCTATTTTCACTTATTTTGTGGATCTTCAGTTACTTCAGGCCATCTGGATATATACGCGCAGGTCACTAGGGATATGATGGCTTAGCTTGGGCTCAGAGGCCTGATATTGTGGGTTTGGGGAAAAGAAGGGTAAGTTAATTAGAAAAATCTCCATGGACAAAGGAATGGAAAGGAGGGAAGGTAAAATATAGAAAAGGATGGGGCATCCTGGCGCTGTGCCAAGAGGAGCCCTTGAGCACAGGAACTTGAAGCTGTAGTGAGGTGTGATTGCACCACTGCAGTCCAGCATGGGCAACAAAGTGAGACCCTGTCTCAAAAAAAAAAAAAAAAAAAAAGAAAGAAAGAAAGAAAGAAAAAGAAAAAAAAAATCCTCTGGAAGGAAAAACTCCAGCACCAAGTATTAGGTTGTCAAATGAAATTCTGGAAACCTGGGAGTTATCAACACCATTTACAAATCTGAGAGTGTCCAGAGAGGTGGAAGAAGGAGGTAAGTAGAGAAAGGGTAGAGTGCCCCTTCAGATTTGATAGTGACATGAAAGCAGAATGAAATTAAATTAAGGATGCTGTAGCACTTAAAGAGAAACAAAACATTTTAACTCCCACTTTTCCCCATCACCACCAAAGCAGGCATCAGAAAGACTGCACTTCCCTATAGTGATAGAAGAGTATGCTATTGAACCAGAAATTCATTTCATGAAAATGCATGGGAATTAAAAGAGAGAGAGAGAGAGACCAATTTCAAATAAAGCTATGTAACAAGAAAACAGAAATGCAAATCAAAACACTTCAGGAAAAATCTCTCAAAAAAAGAATTGAAACAGGAGGAAACAGTAACACAACATTCACACCTGAATTAAACGGCCCTCAAACATTCACGCAAGCACTTGGAAATCTAAAAAGTCCACCTATTATCAGAAATTAAGAAAAGAAAGGAGGAGGAGGAGACAGAGGAAGAGGAGCAGACGTGGCAGCAAAAAGGAGTCAGATGAAGATAAATAAGAGGACAATGAAGATGGAAACCAAGAAGGAGAAAGCGGGGAAGGGCAGCAGTGATGAGAGTTGATTAACAAAATAAAGTAAAATGGAATAAGTTACAATGTGTCAAGGAATAATATGCCTGTCTGTCCCAGGTTGTATGACTTTCCAGGTGGCATTGAGAGTTTTGATATGCTTCTTGTGGAAGTATGAATTGTACATCTATTTTGGATAGCGGTTTGGCATTGTCTATTAAAATTGAAGATATACATATGGATATGTATCACAGAGTAATTCTGTATACTCATTATGGGAATATGAATCATACATCAATTTTGGATAGCAGTTTGGCATTAACTATTAAAATTGAAGATATTATACTCTGCACTCAGAATTCTAGCTCTTGAGCAACATAATCTAGAGCAGGGATCCGCAAACCACAGCCAATTGGTCAAATCTGACCTACTTTCCTAATTTTGTAAATAAAGGTTTATTGGAACACAACTATGTCTATTTGTTTATATGTTGTCTATGGCTGCTTTTATGCAAAACAGGAGTTGGGTCGTTGCAACAGAACCCACAGTTGTCCCACAAAACTGAAAATACTATCTCTCTGGCTCTTTATGGTAAAAATTTGCTGATGCCTAGTCTAGAGAAACTCTTGTGCATATGAAGAAACATGTAGAGAATGTTCATAGTGTAAAAGTTGAAAACCTCACAAGTATTCATCAGCAGTGTAACTAAACTAAATTGGAATGGTTTCCAATAATAGACTGTTTATTATACAGCAGACAAAATGAAGAAGGTACAAATGTATGCAACCACACAATTGCGTTGCCAAATAAACTGTTGAGTGAGAAAAAGGAAGTATGAACACTATATTTCCATTTGTGACAAGGTTAAAATATGCACACTGAACTATTTGTAGTTTAGGGAATCATATATATGAAATAAAATAAAACAAGGGACAATTTAAGTTGGTGTCACATTTATCATTAGAGTACAGAGAAAAAAAAAAAAAACCAATAAGAGTGACTCCTAGTAGGAGTGTCAAGGATATGGATCATATTTTCTTTCTCTAAGTGAGTACTGAGCCACGGCTATTGGCTTATAATCAACATTTGCATTGTGCTTTTTTGTTTGTTTGTTGTTTTTTAAAAATTGCTTCAAATCTTAGATCAAATACTTAACTGCCTTTTTAGCAAGAGAAACTTACCTAACACTTATTATCTTATCATCTCCTCAAATTATGATTTTCTTCTGACTTTTTACTTTTTAGCATACCTAGCATATACACTGACGTGGACATTTCTCAATGCTGAATTGTTAATTTTCTATGTATTTCTGAAGGAATTAGCTAGATGCATTTATACATGAGCATAACACAGACATTTGTGCATATATATATATACACACACACAGTTATATTCCATATGCTTAGAGAATAATTATAAAGAATTGCACAGGAGACATTGCATGAGGCTTCGTGTCATATGTCCTTGGATAGGTTATGACCCTGCCTGTGGGGTAATCCCTGAGGGTTCCTTCATCCCAGTGCTTTCCCCTGTGAAATGAGAACACAGTAATAATCATATCTACTTTTCTATTTTTGTGTGGATACAATAATGCTTGGTGTCATTCATAAAAGGAATATTTTCAATGCCACTTCTGGTCTCAGACATGTGCTGTCTGCCTGTCTTTGTTCCAGGTTGTACGGCTCTCCAGGTGACATTGACCTGTGGCCTGCCCTTATGGTTGAAGACCTGATTCCTGGTACGAGAGTGGGACCAACACTTATGTGCCTGTTTGTTACCCAGTTTCAGCGGCTAAGAGATGGAGATAGGTGAAGGATTATCTGTTATACTTATTAAACATCACAGAAGTTATTTTTGACCTGAAATGTATATGTATAACCTATTGTGATTCACATTTTTAATGATTTAATGCATATTGAGTATAATAAATATCAGACAGCATTTGGTGACAGAACTTTTGTAACCACCAATATTATCAGATAGCATTTATTTTTGTAAATCTTTGTAAGAAGAGAAGAAACAGAATTTCTCAAAAAGCAATAGAAGTGGGTGATTAAGAGATTGACAGCTAGATGGACTACGTTGTGCTTGAATCTGAGTCTCACTACTCACAGCTGTTTAACTTTGGACATGTATCACTTGGAACCAGGTTCCTCATCTGTAAAGTGTGAATAACAATTATACCTATTCCATAAGATGTCTGCAACCTTCAGTGATGTTGAGAAGGAAGGAATTGAGAGCAGCCTTGAGATTCCCTCCCTTCATTCTCATGGAGGAAGACCTGCTGACCCTAGACCAGATCTCCTTGTAAAATTACATTATGAGGGCATTTACGAGTGGAAAGATAGCTGGGAACTCTTCTCTAAAATTTCTTGGTTTATCTAAAGTGTTCATTGTACATAAATTTAATCATGAAATAATGGGAAACAGCAGGCTGGAGAATGTAAGTTAGTCATGTAATCTCTTCACTGTTCCAAAACTAACCATGAATAAAAACCAGGAAACACAAACCTAAGCACTCTCTCCTGAGTGGACATGTGCTCTTCTATTGCTTGGGATCCAGTATGTTCCAGGGCATGGTATCTTCTGAATCATTAGTAAAGCTTAGTGTTGAGTACGATCTAGGAATCTTGTAAATCTGTTTGACAATATAACCTTTTGTAGTATTGCAGAGATAATGTATATGACTTGAAACAAAGCCCAGAGCTGTATTTTTAATTAAAATTACAATAAAAATTATTCTTTAAATTTCCTTTCAAATCTCTTCCGCTTACAAATTATAGAGAAAGTAGCAAAGGATTTAATTCCCTTTATTGCACATTGGTAACAATTAATAGTATATTTCCTTAAAATCATTTTTAACATTGAATTTCTTGACCCACACAATTGGGTTAATATGCTCAATTGGCAATAGTTTAAGAATATATGTAGTCAAAGACTGAAAATAATTGAAAAAGCTTCAGTTTGGGGGGTAAGCTGTCTTCTCCATATATATTAGTTTGCTAGGCTATTGTAACAAAGTCACATAGCCTGGATAGCTTAAACAACAAAATTTTTTATTCTCACAATTCTGGAGGTTAGATGCTGATCAAGGCATCAGCAGAGTTGATTCCTACTGGAGTGTCTCTTCCAGCCTGTAGATAGCATCTTCTCCCTGGGTCTTCACTTGGTCATCCCTCTGTATCTATGTCCACATTTCTTTTTCTTATAAGGACACCAGTCATACTGGGTTAGGGCTCACTCATATGATCTATTTTTACCTGAAATATCTATGTAAAGGCCCTATCTCCAAATAGAGTCACCTTCGAAGGTACTGGGGCATAAGACTTTAACATATACATTTTAGAGGTACACAGCTCAGTCCATAACATCAAGAGAGTGGTAAGAAGTCTTTTTGCTTACCATCTTAATTTCCTGTTCTATACCCAGTATGAACAAGTGCTTGGCATATGGTATTCAAATATTTACTGAATGATTAAACCCAAGGATTGACTTTACTGAATTAACCCAAAGATTGACTTTAATCTTTTATTTAAAATTGATCATATCCTTTCATTTAAAATTGAATGTGCTTATTCTAGTTAATCGATAGATACAACCAAATAGTATATGTTAATTATCAAAAGTGATACTCTCTTTGTAGGCAAACATGTTAATATTACCTTGCTCAGACAATTTCTAAGGTTAGTTCATGGAATTTAAATGTAGCAATAGGGCTAGGTGCACTGGCTCACAACTGTAATCCCAACACTTTGGGAGGCCGAGGTGGGCAGATTACTTGAGGCCAGGAGTTTGAGACTGGTCTGGCTAACATGGCAAATCCCTGTCTCTACTAACGATATAAAAATGAGCCAGGCATGGTGATGGAAGCCTGTAATCCCAGCTACTCGGGAGGCTGAGGCAGGAGAGTTGCTTGAACTCTGGAGGTGGAGGTTGCAGTGAGCTGAGATCCTGCCACTGCACTCCAGCCTGGGCTACAGAGTGAGTGAGACTCCATCTCAAAATACATAAATATATATATATATAAATTTTGAAAATGTAATAATGGACTTTTCTTTTTTGGGGGAAAACCTTAGAAAACTTTCCTTTGAATCCTTTCGTAAAGCTTGAGGTAGAAAGTGATGACAGTTTGGAAGCATGGGATTTAAGAATGTTGTAAATATTGGAGGGAATTAAAAGGATACTCAGTTGGAGAACAAGCATAATCCTTTCAGTATGCGCCTTTTATGTTGAGCTCTTCTTGGTGCATTGTGGCTGTTTGACATGCAGTTGAGTTTTCAGGCCACAGACCCGCGACAATGCTTTTTTTGTTGACTATCAGGTTCTGGTATGAAAATCCTGGAGTATTTACCCCGGCACAACTCACTCAGCTGAAGCAGGCGTCCCTGGGCCGAGTGCTTTGTGACAATGGTGACAGCATTCAGCAAGTGCAGGCTGATGTCTTTGTAAAGGCAGAATACCCACAGGATTACCTGAGCTGCAGTGAGATCCCAAAGGTGGACCTGCGAGTGTGGCACGACTGCTGCGCAGGTCAGTAATAATGCAATGAGTGGGTTGATGTGCATGTTCATCTGGATTGATGTGCATGTTCATGCGCTTGAATTGTTTTCAGTGTCAAAGATGTGATTTACACAAAGATACACAAAAAGCCAACAACACAGAACTTTCCTTTTGGAAATCTGATGGATGATGAAGGGGTGGACACTAGGAAAAACGAGGCTCCCAAGCTGCCCATCCTCTTCCATTCCACATTAACCTTGTTAGAATGGGGACACTTGTTGTCAAAACTGGCCTCTGCCTTCTTACTGCATTTCAGATTACTGCACCAAAGATCAAACGCCAATCACTTGGTACTGACTATATCTACTTCTTGATGTTCATCTAACAAGAGAGAAATGAAAGTTGATAGTAACTTGGCTAACTTAGACTATTCATTCTTTATAAGATGTGGCAGTAGTGCTCCTTGGAAGTACAAGGAAATTTTGATAGAGTCAGGAAAAAACTTTCCCTAATGGCACAACAGAATTGGTAGTATCTACAACATCACTGTTTATGAACCAAACTTTCCCTAAGGTGCTTCTATAAGCGTCCGTTTTGTTCTCACAATATCCCTTTAGAAATGTGGATTTCTTTCTCCTTTGATGAAAGTATGGCTCAAAAATATTAGACGACTTTCTCAAAGTCCAAATATGAGTAAGTGGTGGAGCCAGGGCCAGAGAAAAGATGTATCATTTGTTGAAACCTAGAGGTGAACTGAGGACTTGACGGTTCTCCAGCAGAATATGCTGACGTCTTCACAGGTAAGACGTCACAGGTGTCTGTCACATGGAGGATACTTGCGGCTCCTCTGGACGCCAACGACACAAGTGCCACCACAGCTTCATACCTGCTCCATGTAGTGGCCATGGGCCTGGGAGTTCTGATGTTCTCTAGGACTGAAATGATCATTCTCAGTACCTAAGTAGTACTAGAGATTTGTGGTCAGGGGAGGAAATTGAAAGCCACTGCTAGAAGCGTGATAGAACACTGGCTGCGTGCGATGGCTCAAGCCTGTAATCCTAGCACTTTGGGAAGCCAAAGTGGGTGGATTGCTTGAGGACAGGTTTGGCCAACATAGTGAAACCCTGTCTCCACTAAAAATATGAAAATTAGCCAGGCGTGGTGGTGGGCACCTGTAATCCCAGCTACTTGGGAGGCTGAGGCAGGAGAATCACTTGAACCCTGGAGGCAGAGGTTGTGGTGAGTCCAGATCGTGCCTCCAGCCTGGGTGACAGAGCCAGTCTCAATGACACCTGAGTCAAGGTTGTCTTTTTCACTGTGGTGGTGCTTTATTGGACACAGCAAAAAAGAATGTGGTACTATGACGAGGGTGGCATTCTTTCCCTTACCTCAAGTTCTTGGTAATTAGATCCAGAAATAATGAGATAGTCCCCCCTCTTCAGAATGTTGGGGGAACAGGGAACAGTATACAAACCATATTAATGGCAACTACTAACACTCCTTTGCTTCTTCTCCAATGTCCCTGAGATGGGACATAGGGCCTGGTGAGCAGAGGGACAGATAGATGGCATGGCAGGGTGTAGGCTGTGATGACCAGAGTGGTGCCCTGCAAGGAAGCAATGGCTCCTTGTAGAGGCCAGGGCTAGGTACCCCTTATACTGACACATACCATTCCTAGCTCTTCTCACCTCTGGCCATGTGATAAGTGATTCATGGAAACACTAAGCTCGTATAATTGTCCTGAGTCTTTCAAGGTGGGTGTTGTTATCACTGATTTACATATGAGGAAAATAAGGCTCCTGGAAACTAAATACATTTTCTAAGGTCCCACAGCTGACCTGAAGGACTCAGCTCTTTCCTCTGTGCCCACTGCCACCTGGTAGCACCTGTAGGGTAGGTGCCTGGCACAGAGACGCAAGCAGGCCCCCACCAAGGGCGGTTCCTCTGCTGCCCTCCCCCCATTGCCATTGTTCCACATTGAAGACTGGGAGGAAGAGGGCTCCTCTGGTTACTTAAATGGTAATGCATCTGCTGTGGGCAACGTTTGTTATGGAAAATGCAATGCAAGGATGTAACAGACCAGGAGTGGGTTGGGGTTTTGAGTTTGTGCAAAATAAGACCTTGTCTTATGAAGATCTGTGGTCCCAATGAATAATAACACTCTTTCTCTGTGAGTGTCTTTAAAAAATCTCTGGAAATGAATAAGCCAGTAGTAAACATCTACTACTTAATTGGAAACAAAAATACAGTTTTTTTTAATGACACTATAAAAATGCTCAGAAGTCATGTCAGTAGCAAAATTACCTAAGGATATGAATATGCCTTATGTAGTTCCAACCATAATGTAATGTTTGTAATGAGAACCATTACAAATGGATACACATGTATTTTTCTGTGTACTTTTTGACTAACAAGCATGGATTTTTCAGAAAAATTAAAAGACAATTTAAAATGAGTGGCTTAAAAAAAGGTGCTTAGTAACTGCTCAAAAGTGGACCACTTTCTTATGGGATGGGCTTCTTACACTTCCCAATTAACAGAAACATTGCTCTACGTAGATTAGGGGCCTGCTGAATCACTCAGATCTCTGAGGAACTAGTTTCTAGGCTGTGGCTCCGTAGTTTCAGATAGGGTATACATTTTAATGGCTTGAGTTAATTAAGGCAGTTGAGAATTGCTGGTTTGACTCCACTGAGTCCATCCCTGAGACCTGAAGTTGTGAATTTCCCAGACAGAGAAGGTGTGTTAAAGGACCTAGAAACTATGTCACTACTCAATACACTTGTCTTTGTTGTGTGTTCATTCATGTTGTATTAATAGATTTCTTCCCTCTCCTTTGCTAATCTCATTCTCAGATTAAAATAAGCGATGGTGCTTAAATGATTGATTGATTGATTGATTGATTGATTTTGAAACAGTCTCTCTCTGTCGCCTAGGCTGGAGTGCAGTGGTGCGTTCTCAGCTCACTGCAACTTCTGCCTCCCGGGTTCTAAGTGATTCTCCAGCCTCAGCCTCCCGAGTAGCTGGGATTACAGGCCCACACTACTACACCTGGCTAATTTTTGTATTTTTAGTAGAGACAGGGTTTCACCACGTTGGCCAGGCTGGTCTTGAACTCCCGATCTCAAGTGATCCACCGACCTCAGCCTCCCAAATTTCTGTGATTACAGGCATGAGCCACCACGCCCAGCGGATTCAGTTGTTTTAACTAGCATTATCCTAGAGTAAAATAGAGACCTTCGTTTGGGATGTAAAGGGCCACTCCAAGCAGTCCTAGTGGTTCATTTTGTTAGAATGAAATATATGATTAAATTAACCCTCAGCTCTTTATGTTGCTTTTATAGAATAATTTTATTTTCAACAGGGCTATTTTTTTTTTCATTTTTGTTTCCCATGAATAATAGCCTACTGGTTAATACTGATATCAGCATCTTCCAAATTTAACTACATTTTTAAAAAATCCTGGAGAAACTCTTCTCCTAAATTCCTAAACACATTGAAATGGACTCTGAGTCTGTTTAAACAGTGATAATTAAATACAATCAAGATTTACATCATTATATCTTGTTATTCTTTGAAGGTCGAAGGCATGAGATCTAAATAATGTGGCTGGGATTTGTGTCACTTAGCTGTAAGACTATGGGTTTGTATGGGTAATCAAACTGGAAAAAGTTGGGGTGTTAAGGATTTGGTTTGCATTTTTCATGTCATTTATTATGTTCAATGAATAAGTTTGTTATCCACTGTTTTTGTTTTATTTTGTTTTATTTTGAGGTGGAGTTTTGCCCTTGTTGCCCAGCCTAGAGTGCAATGGTGTGATCTCAGCTAACCGCAACCTCTGCCTCCTGGGTTCAAATGATTCTCCTGCCTCAGCCTCCCGAGTAGCTGGGATTATAGGCATGCACTGTCAGGCTTGGCTAATTTTTGTATTTTTAGTAGAGACAAGGTTTCTCCGTGTTGGTCAGGCTGGTCTCGAACTCCCGACTTCAGGTGATCCGTCCCGCTCAGCCTCCCAGAATGCTGAGATTACAGGCATGAGCCACTGCACCTGGCCCTACCCACAGTTTTTAACCCATGAATTTCAGTTTCTCTTCATAGAAACTAGAGACCATGCTAAAACAGCATGGTGTTTTTGTTTTCCTTTTTGCCCTTAACTACTTCCATATCATGCATTTTTTAAATAAATTTCCTCAAGTCATTCTATGTATTTCTTATATAAGTAATTCCTTTAAAATATTGCTTAGTGTTTAATGGATAGGATTGTATATACCAACATTTATGCAGCCATACTTTGCATATCAGGACTTATATTTCCATAGGCTAGGTTCTTATAGAGTTCCCAAAGTAAAGTTGCTGAGGTGCAGGATATAGGCTTTTTAATGAAAAAAAGGTGTTGTCATATTTATTTCTAAAAAGATAAACATGATGATTCCACAATTATATTAATACCCACTTTATTTCCCGACCAGCAATTGCTAATATAGTCCTCGGTTTTTTGATAGTGCAGTGAGTAAAAACTTAATTATCTCAAGCTCATTTTAATTTTCATTTCTCTGTTAGTATGTTTAAACAGCTGTTTCCATGGTTTTTGGTTTTGGGGATTGGCTGTGTGCATTGTGTGTTCATGGTCTTTGTCCTTTAATCAATCTGTATGAGCTCTCTGCAAATGCTATGTGTTAACAATGGTGAGGGTGAACATCCCAGGCTTACCACTAAATTGAAACGGTTCCATCATTTACCCAGCAGCAACGTACTTGCTTCCTTTTATGTGAATTTCTTTCTTTCTTTTTTTTTTTTTTTTTTTTTTTTTAAGACGGAGTCTTGCTCTGTCGCCAGGCTGGAGTGCAGTGGCGCGATCTCAGCTCATTGCAACCTCCACTTCCCGGGTTCAGGTGATTCCCCTGCCTCAGCCTCCAGAGTAGCTGGGACTACTGGCGCCCACCACCACACCTGGCTAATTTTTGTACTTTTAGTAGAGACGGGATTTCACCATGTTGACCAGGATGGTCTTGAACTCCTGACCTCCCAAA